AGGAAGTCAGGATTACAGCCCAGGACAGGTTCTTATAATGGCCTCGGGAGATGGAACAGCAGGTGACAACACAGGAGTGGAAACGCGGCATAGGCCTAAAAAGAATACAGGCTGCGTGAATATTAATGGGGGCCTCAGAGCAGGATCCTATAGCGAAGGACTGCCAATAAATGAAGTCTCGTCAACTCCCACTTTCGTTTTGGGGATCAACGTGCAAGGAGACCTAGTCCAAGAAACAGGAGTACGGGAGCAAGTTCGACCCAAACGATTGGGGAAAAGGGGCATGCCGTCTAAGGGTTTAGGGTTTAAGGTGGTAACGGGGTGTACCAATGGAGGACACACGTGGTTAACCAGGGGTGTTATTTTCGACGAATTTTGCACCGAATTGCACTGAAACTGTCATATTGTGCTGATTTTTTGCTTTTTTTTTCTTTTTTCTTTTTGTGTGATATATATGTGCTTTAGGGTACGTCATGTGTGCAGTTTTGACACGTTTGGATCAATAATGAAAAAGTTGGCATTTTGTTGCATTCGTTGGACGCTTCATTTTGACTCGGACAGTGTCTTTGTGTTAGGGTTTCATAGTGTTTTTTTGTTTTTTTTTTCGTTTGTTTTTGCCTGTTTCCTTTTTTGATGTTTGCACTATGGTCTCACATCGTTTGTTTTTAAAAATTTTGATGAAACTTGCACCACAATTGCCAACGAAAACGGCCCCCGTTAACCGTCTGAGAAGGACTGATAAAATGGATCACGAGCAGGACATTGTAAGGGGACAGACACAGGTCGACAGGGACAATGATTGAGCTCTTTCTAGGGGACATATCATCATTTGGCAGATCTGCCCGCCAGGTCTGAGAGGAAAGAGAGGGTCAGGGCAAGCTGACAGTCAATCCTCCACTGAGGTGGAGCAATCAATACTGCTCAGGGGTCCTTCGGCCTGAATGGAAGGAAGCGTGTGTGTGTTCTGTCTCATGTATTGTATATTTTGACTTGCCGGTGGAATAGGAACCGGACTGACGCTCCCCAGAATAGAAGAAGCCAGGACCATAAGGCCCTGTTTTGTTCAAAAAAAATAATAATAATAAAAAAAAAAATGGCATGACAAGTTCCTGAAAATTTAGGCCTCTGTAAAGCGACTATTGCCTTGCGATATCATGAATGAACCGACCGGGCCCAGGTAATTAAGAATTAGTTTGCTCTGCTCATCTGATGGCATCTGGACTCGAACATGGGTCTGCATTTCAAGAGTTGATTGGTGTACTAATTAAGCTAGGCTCCGCTCAGTTGCCGTAAAATTTTCTTTTGCCCAAAGAGTGTTTAGTTTTCCATAAGTGGAAATCAATTTTGGAATTGTGGCACTCACATTTCTTCCCGGTGCTTCAGAAAGAGCTCAACGGAGTACATGCACACAATTTTTGAATGCTTCTCTCTGTTTCTTGTGTCCCTTCCTCCGCTTTCCCCCACCCATCTCTTGCCTGCAAGTTGGTGGGATCGCCGTGTGGAGGTGGTGGGGTTGTGGTGTCGAGGTGGGTTTGAACTTCTCATTGGATTGTGGTGTGGAGCTGGTCGTAGCTCCCATGCCGAGACATCATCCTCTTTCTTACAACTACTGCCCCCGAATCCTCCTCTCTCCCTTCTCCTTCTGTCCTCTCCTTGTTTTTTTTTGCCCGCTATATGCATCCCCATCCATCTTGGCCTTGAATGCTTCTATACATTTGTCTTCTCCATGTTCTCCTCCCTTTCTCACCACTCCAGTCCAATATGCTGGTAGCACAATTGGTTGCCAAACAGGCCTAATGTGCTGACATGACAGGTTGGGGTGGGTGACCGCGCTGGCTGGTTGTGCGTACGGGCTATGATAGGTTGTGATGGTAGGACAGGCGCGCAGAGTAAGAATACTTGGGAGGGGTTCTGGGATAATTGGTTGCTGGTGATGGCGAGTGCCCCTGCTTTTGTCCAATTTCTGCATTTCTTAACATTCAACTACCTTCTTCCCCTGAATACAACGTACGGTCATTATATCTGTATTTGAGGCATCTTTCAGTCTAGATACAGGTATAATGACCGTACGTTGTATTCGGGGGAAGAAGGTAGTCCAATCGCAGTTCTCAGGTTACCTGATTTTTCGCGTGTCAATGTCCTTGTTTTACTCTGTCTGTCTGTCTGTCTGTCTGTCTGTCTGTCTGTGTGTCGTAAGTTTCCACCACAACAGCCCCTATTTCACCCAGACAAGTAAATTCGAGTTGAGCCAGCCCAACAATTAAAGAATTTACCTCCTTATCAAGCAACATGAGTCATAGCAGAACTAATTTTAGAACTGTGTTTAGTTGGGGTTTCTTGGCGGCAACAGCTCCTCTTTTACTATGCCTCGTAGGCTCGTACGTACAAGGCTGCCCGCGTTGATTGTGGTTGAGCGGCAGCTGCCCACATCCCCGTGTCCGCTTGCATGGTATAACAGGAGGCAGAGTAAAAGGGAAAGTATGCTCCTGTGCATTTCTCTTCAGATCTTCATACTCCTGTTTATTTCACTTCTGATCTTCATATCGTCTGTTCTCTTAACGATGCTCATTCGTATGTGTTTGTTAGTAGCACAAGAGGGGAGGGTGGAGGGGACGGTTGAGGGAAAGGGATAGAAGGCGGATTTCTTTCGGAGAGTGGGGTAGGGGGGAGGTGGAGGGCAAAGGACAGGAGAGAAAGATGTGAACGGCAGGATAGTACATGACATGCAAAGGGCAGGGGAGAGGTTTATGACGAACTTCCTGCAGAACTCTAAACACTCACCGCTGGAACAGACTACTCTACAATGGCACATGAGGTTAGTTAGTGTCTGGGTTGCATAAGATTTTGAGTTGAGAAGCAGCGATTGCCTATGGTAAGTGGCCACCCCTACAGACCGGACAGGACCGGTTCGGGTGTGGACTATGGAAGCACAGCATCCAACTTTCGCAGTCACAGTTGCTGCATCGAATGGCACGGCGCAAACAGATGTCACACACAGGCTACGTGGCTCCTACATGCTAGGAACACGGAGGCACATCGACCACAGTTATAGAGGCATTGCCGTTCCAGCCCGTCTACAAATTAGACATGACATGTCAGGGTGCCGTACATGAGTTCAGTACAGACTGTCGTCGTACATATGAAAGCAAAAACTCGCTTGGACTATCCCTTCATAATCCTCACGGCACAAGGCATGCGGACCACATGCTAGTTGAATCTCCGGCGGGTCATCACAAAGCGGCATGGAGCACCTTCCTTGGGTTTCCTCAGTATTTATTCCTTTTTTTTCTCTATGGGCAGACGACAACAGGGAGGATCGGTCCAAAGCAAGGGTGTTCAGCGGCTGCAGGATTTGGTCCACAACAGCTCGTCCTGGTGGGTGATAAACTATCAGCACATCGCTCTGCAGATGGTTCATATAGAAGTCTATTTTTCTCCTCGGGCTGCTGTGTTTGTCGTTCGTCTGGCAAGGAAGAGGGAGATCCGTCTGCGCTTGCCGTGGTAGGTGTATGACCAACACCATATGTGGGACATGCTAGGAGAGGATGTGGAGGATGATGGCACCGGGGATAGACCACGCAGTAAAGACACATGCTGTCTATGACAGCTTCCTGGAAACACTGACGACATATGGCATGTTGCTAACATGTCATCAGTATGGAAGGCTAACGTGCACAGTTATTTAAGCATGACAGATCAAGGCCACAACAGCATGCTGGGCAGGTAATCAGGGGGGGGGAGGGATGCGCACAAGACAGGGGATCACAGTTTTCGTGGGAGAGGCTAGCAGCAGCCATCCCTCCATAGTGTTCAAAGCGGAGGCTATGCCGTGTACATGCCAACCGAACTGTACCTGTACGACGACACAAAGGGAGGGTACAGCCATGATCCTCTGGAGACGTCCCTTCACTGTTTGCGGTAGAATCAGCCGGATTGCTCTCCGGGGGCTGCAGTGCTTGCAAGTGCTCGTCGACATACTGTTCCTGATGGACGAGCCAGACTGCGTGATCCTCAACCATTTGGTGATAGAAAGAGTGAATATTTCCCGCTGTGTGCACCCTACCACCATTGTGCCCATGAATTAAGAGCACTGAAATGACCTGAGCGATGTAAGATATATGCCCGAATATTCGGATCCATGCCTGGCACGTGGTTTTGTGGAGCAGGCTGGAATTGTCGTTGCCTACCCATAAATGCCATAGGCATGACTTCTATGTTCACACCAGGTGTAGCATTGTCATCCTCTGGGCAGACGGCACGGTGCTCTTCTTCTATCCAGCGGACAACGTCTGCAAAATCAGAAACAGTATAAAGGTAACAATTGTAAGCAAGGAGACATACATTAATGACATAGTACAGACGCTGTAGCGCTATGACATCATCCGATTCCGCAGGTTGCGCGGGAGATTTGTTCAGGGCCAGGAGATATTCCTTCAGTTCTGCAGATTGCACAGGTGGCGGAGACTCGTTGCAGTCTTGATTAATTGGCTCTAGTATGCGCTCCGGAGAGAGATGATCTTCAATCTGGCGCTGCATCAGGTAATCAGAAGACGGGTCATTGTCACTTGGGACAGGGGAGCAAGCGCGGGTAGGTGGATGAGAGAGGGGCGGGGCAGGGGGGTGAGAACTGGGTGGACCAGATGCGGGAAGCGAAAGCTGATCAGCCGCATTTGTGCTCAGAGCGGTTGCTAGTCGTGCAAACACTGCACAAGTAGCTGCACCCTCGTGTCTGGTGCACACGCAGGCTTGCAGGGCTGAAGAAATCATCGCCACATTGTGGGCATCGGACTCGACATGTACTATTCCTGGCTAACGTGTATCGAAGGCGACGATATCATACCGAATGGTTGTGAGCATGCCGGCGGAGCAGATCTCTAATCCCTGCAGGAGGCGCGGTGATCATGCCCCTCAAGGATAAACGAGGGCGCTGTCTTTGAGGCGGCGGCCGCCGAAGAGGCATCTGCAATGGTCGATCTAATGACGTATGCGTTCGCCGACGGGGCCGTTGTCACGGCTGATCCAACCATGAACGTGATGACGGTGATGATGATGCTGACGTCGATGACGAAGATGAGGCCTGCGAGACGGCGGAAGGGGAAGAAGGAGAAGGGGAAGAGGAAGAAGCAGAGGAGGCAGATGGCAGAGGGGTTGAGGTACTCGAAGATGTCAGTGGGGGGAGCATTGGCAATGATCGTTGTGGCGGTGATGAAGCTGATGGTGGTAGCAACAGTGGCAGCGGTGGTGGTGCTGGAGGTGCTGGGGGTGGTGGTGGAGGTGCTGGGGGTGGTGGTGGAGGAGGAGGGGGCGGTGGTGGAGATGATGATGGCCGTGGTGGTGACAGTGGCGGTGATGGCGGCGGTGGAAGCGACATGCTTTCAGGTACCACCGCCGTATTGGTAGATGCTGGCCCTCCTCCATTGCAGCCACTTCGGCCAAATTTGTTGCTGGCCTGGTCTCCTGCCGGGTTGGCGTATTCACATTGGCGTCTAGCATTTTGGCAGGAATAACAGGAGAGGGCAGGTCCACCGTGTTTGGTTGTGTGGAGGGCCGATGCTGCCTATGGTCAAAATCAGTGTTGGGCTGCGGGACGTGGGCTATTGCATGTGGTTGTGCGGAAGACCTGCACACAGAATTAGCATCCGGGAGTGGGTGAGCAATTGCCCAGCATGCCATGCGGCGAAACCAGTTTAAAAGACGTGTAACATGAGTGGGTAGCCGACGCTGTCGGCCGCGCACATATGTAGTCCAGCCTCTAGCCAGGACACTTGGGGGATGATCTCTAATAAGCATTTGTCATGTCAAGGAAGTCACTGCAGCTTTAAAGTTGGCAGAGATGTTTGAATCGTGTTAGCTGCCCTGTGAGCAACCCTGCAGGCTGATGAACTGGGGCATTAGAGGACGCAATGGGGTAGTGTATCACAGGGAATGTCCAGGCCTCAACCTTGTCAAACACGCCAATGCGAAGTGAGCCGTCCGGCCGAACCAGGATTCTTGACCCAAGGAAAAGACACGGCCGATCTTGCTCAGTAGTGTCCTTCCACTCAAGGCCATATCGAACAGGAGGGGAGGGGGGGGGGKGATGTCTTCCAAGATAAGATGTCATCAATGAATCGGTATGTGAATGCATGTGCTTGCGCAGCGCGCAGATCCCGCTGTCGAAGTTCATCGACGAACTGTGCTTATCCCCAATAGAGCATAAGGTTGGCAATTTCTGGTCTGGCGTTAGTGCCCATAGGGATACCTACCACCTGATGGTGCAGAATGTCATCCCTTGTGTAGAGATAAGTGTTGGAAACCACAAAACTGCAGATGCTGTTCTATTTCTGACACGGAAGGGTATCCGAATCATGTGCAGTAAACCACTCCCCTCGATGAGGACCTCCTACGGTCATGTACATTTGTACTGGCCTTCTTCCCTGCGTGATCCCCAACAAGGCGTAATCATGTGCTTCACAAACCGCATTTTGGACATTGTTAAGAATCCTGTGATGTGGCAGGTTAGTGTACATGGTTGTAAAATGTGTTGTTTGGGGCGTACAGCCTAGAAGGGATTGTGCGTTCCGCTTGAGATCCAAGATGACTTCGTCGGCACTTTGCACACTCCAACAGCGGTGTACTCCTACTTTTTGATAAAGCTCATTGTCCTTACTGCGCAGAGACTTGATCACGACTCAGAGAGTGTAGCTAAGTCAGCAAGAGCCCATTGCTGCACTCACAAGAGGCCTATGAAGGGGCCTGTTATGCAGATCTGAAACTGAAGGTTGGCGAGGTGTTGTACGACGTGAAGACCAGGAAGGTTGTTTTGCTGAGTAACACCAAGAATTGGGCGAAGAACGGGCGGGGATTTATGTGCTTTAAGTGCAAAGTAGAGATAGGGCAGGGTGTCAGTGTGTCGATACCCCCAGCGTTGATTGAAAAGCGCATGGTGTTCGAGGATGCTCTCCACAGACTCTAACGCCGGACCGTAGGTAGGGCTATCAAGATGCTGTGATAACTTATAGGCATACCAGCGCTTGCAGCAGATTGCCATGTTGTGTGTGTGTGTGTGTGTGTGTGTGTGTGTGTGTGTGTGTGTGTGTGTGTGTGTGTGTGTGTGTGTGTGTGTGTTGTTAAAGCACCCGAAATTCTCTCTCTCATTTCCTCCACAAATCATAACAAACCATCCATAATGAAAAAGGATAGAAAGACAATATAATAGAAAATGCAAGGTTGGCCACGTTTGTGTGGCTCAGCGCCAAGTGCGAGGATCTGGGTCCTCGGCAGGCCTGAGGGGCCCTGTTTCAGAAGTGCCCGCCCTAAGTGAAGGCGGGCCTAACAAATCGTGAGAGCCCCTCTGCTGTCGATTTTGTATGGGGTCCAGGCAGTTGTGACGCGCCAGTTGGTTGAGGGAAACACAGGCCGAGCAGCAAAGAGATTCCACACCGCACCAGGCCTTTGCGGAAAATGCAGGCCCTGGGCAAGAATCGCAGCCTCATACACAGAGAGTTGGGAGGCCCAACCGAATGAGGCCCAGCAGCTGCATTGGAGGCACAGCCTCCTGGGGCCTACCGGGAGCTTCTGGGCAGAGGCCCAGGCCAGCCAGGCCACCGGAGGAGGCAGGCTCTTTCCATATAGGAAAGAGCTTGCTGCCTGGCCTCTCATTCAGGCACTTGCCAGATGCTGCGGCAGCACTGCTGGAGCGATTGCTTGCGGGCTGCTCAGTGCTAAGGGCAAGGTGCTGCGCGCGTGCGGTCGTGCAGGAAGCAGGGTGCTGCTGAGGGCAGCGCCATAGCCCAGCCTCCATAGCTGGATGGGCTTGGACTACAGTGAGGCGCAGGGGTGGTCTTCAGGTGTACAGGGATAAGACGTGGGTGTAAGTCAGGGGAGAGAGAGAATGATGATGATGATGATGTGAGGGCACATACCTGGTATTGGCGATGGTCTGCATTGGGCGACATCTTCAAGTACCTCGTGGGCTGCTGACGTCAACAGTTGCATTGTCAATTAGTAGGCAGACAGTAGTTGTGTAGGAAGTAGGCTGGGCGCGGAGCGCCAAGTAGGGAGAAGGGCCTGGACACTCGTGTTAGTGGTGGCGAGAGCAAGCTCTCATTGACATTGGTTTTCAGTGTTACAATTCTTCATTGGTGTTGTATTGGTGCAATTCTGCTTTCTGGACACCGTGATACTATCTGGCCTTCAATGTATCAGAGCTGGTTCGAACTGCGCTTCATTGATTCTTCGCAATAGCTGTTTGGTGCTTTGCACGAGGTGTGGGGTAGTGATAAGGCTTGGGCGTTGAATGATATAGGCAGCCCAGGGTCGTGTGGGCGCGCCAGGAAGCTCTGTGGTGACATTAGGGGTGTACGCTGGATGATGAGAGCTCGCTCATGTTGCATTTAAGCCGAGGTGGAACTGCATTCTGCTGTTGGTTGTGCCGAGGCAAAGACCGGTCATCATAAACGCACATTAGGTTGCCGGTGAGAAATCTGTGGTTGGGGGCAGCATTATGAGGTACATTGCTCTCTTCCTTATCTACCCTCTTCATTACTTCTCACCGTGAGGAAGTGAGTTCTGTCTTGAGAGTCCTCTCAATGTGAGGTGTTGCGAGTGCTCAACCTTGAGAGTCGACATTCTTCTTGGGCAGCAAGCTGGTGGGAGACGGGTGAAGCCTCTGAAGGGCCCTGGACGAAGCACTCGGGCCACGGTCACCATGTCAACCGGCTGGGACTAGTACACGCATGCTTTGCCGCAAGTCCTTGGTTCTGCTGCTGCGCAATAGAGGTCATGCAGGGCATGCCAGCCCTTTGAACAGACGCTTACCAGACCGTCTCTAAATATTTGTGAAGAGTTCCGGTGTTGAACCCTGGCTGTGATCGTTGTCATGTCTGCGACGTTAATAATTCCTGAGGACCTTGGGGGCTGTCCTTAAACTGCCTCTTGATCAGCCAGATCAAACCGGAAGTAAGGCTCGTTGCATGCGAGGGTAAACAACGTCCAGGAGCTGGCAGGTTCGGTACAGACTTGGGGCACAGGGGTGGGCCGGATTGCACACCTTCGGACACGCTGCTCAACCAGACGCTCAGGACGTTGACACAAAGAGACTACTCAAGAGGGATACAGGGGGAAGGGGGATTCTAGTAACTGTTCGCTGTGGCACTAATTTGGTAAACTGCCATCCAGCATGCATCTCCATAAATAATCATTTTTATTTTCGATTATTTTGTACGGACTTGGTGACAACTAACAGACAACTGCAAATAGGATAATTATTTCCTTGCTGCATTGCATTCTGTTTTAGAGTAATCTAAAAATAGAAATAGATTTACCTTTGGGACCTGACATTGATTGCTGGTTACCACTTGACTACTCTCTAGATTGACCGAACTTAGGGTTATACATTAATCGGTTGTGTGCCATGTTGAGGTAGGACCCAGTGTGGATTCTAGTTTATATTACACACACTGTAGCTCATGAGTGATGCAGGCAGTAGTGAGGAGGAGGAACGAGTAGTGGAAGCTCTTCGAGTTACTCGTAGAGCTGCACTCAGTCAACCGATTACCTTCTTGGAATTAGGCCTAGGGGAGGAAAGGAGGCTGCGAAGGGAAGACAGGGAAAGGACGACATTAGAGAGGGCTAGGACAGCGACAACCAACTCTGAACAAACACTTGCAGCAGCAAGACTAGTGGACGCTGGAGTCCAGGTTGAGGTTGCGATGGCTACCTCCTCTACAGTGTCACAGGCCTTGACCCAGGCCTCTTCGTCAGGTGTCAGTCAGGGTGTCTCTCAGAGTTCTACTAGTCAATCTGTTGGCTTACAAGTCAGCCAGCAGATTCCACTCACACCTGAGGATTATGAGATCCTCCAAGCGGAAGAACTGCATGATCAACTACAACAGCAATTAAGAGATGCAGCAGAGAGGAGGCAAAGGGCTATCACGAGAAAAGCTAGACTAGGAGCTAGGAGGCAGGAGTCAAGGAATTTATAGAAGCACTAGACGAGTCGACACTTGACCCTGCAATGCAAGCGCTGCGCCGCTCACTTCTTTGTGTGTCGAAAACGCAGGTTGTCTAGCAGGAAGTGCTGGCCGAACTATTAGACGGCCAGAAACGAATTATGGCTGCACTGCAGGCTCCTCGTCCAATGATGAGGCAGCCTCAGTATGCTGTAGCTCCCCCTTCGGTTGCGGGTCCCTCAGTGACGCCGTCGCCGGTAGGGCCCTCTTTCTCTCCTATGTTTGGCATTCCTCTTTCAGGTAGTCAACCGGTACTTAGTGGTCTAGTTCTCATCTCTTCTCCCGTATCATCGAGGACGGTGGCAGCTACAGTGCGATTGTCTGGACAGCCGCAGGTTAGCATGCAGCAACCTGTCTCAATGGCTATGCAGCCACTGCAACAAGCACCTGGGCAAATCCAACCCATGCAATGGATGCCCAAGATTCCCTTGCTGAGTCCTAAGCCCTTCTCTGGCGACAAGAAGAAGGACGAGGACCTGGACACCTGGGTGAGGACT